GTAATCAAGTCAAATTCGAGTCTCAACGAGATTGGTTTGCTCAACGAGACGAGCCTGCAAATTACCGTGTAATGTGGGACAGATGGGCCTGAACGGTCGTGGTATGCCGTAAACTTGACAGCAGTAGATGGAAGGTTAGGTCAGGTCGGCTTTGACGGCGCTGAATATTGGTCGACAAGCAAGCCTGGGCCGTTTTAATGCCTCGGCTCAAAACGTGGCAACTAACACAAGCGACAAAGTTTAGTCCCCCATACGTGCCGTTGGAAGCTCAAAGTGCTTTTTGGGGGCGTTGTAGAGTAGCTTGCGAATGACGCTTAGAACATTCCAAGCCAACGACTCGCCGTATTAGGCCAAGTGGATGTAACCCCTAGCTACGCAAATGACAGGGCTTGAGAGGAAGTTGTATTCGTACGTGCGAGGGGAGGGTGGCATGCAGTAAGACGATCTAGTGAAGGTTGCATAATCCCATCGACCACATCGCGGGGGTGGCCAACTTCACATGTGCTACCCGTTTTGTGGCGTCAATCACCGACTGTCATTTTGCGGCGAGACAGACAAGATGATCAGTAAACCGCGTTGTGAGCTAGTCGTTGTGAATCGCGAGAACACGCGCACCAATGCCCTAGCGCCATCGGGTTAGCGGATCGGTGCTGCGCCATGTCTCAAATGCGTCCATTTCACTAGGTAAGATAGAAGAAGACTAACCAGCCGTTGGACGAACAGACAGTCGTGTATCCGCGATGGTGCTCACGCCTCAATGGGACTCGCATGTACCTATTGTCTCCTCGACCTTCTCTACAGATTCGATGTAGCGGGTTTCTTACAGACACTGGCGCGCCAATCGTAGAAGGTAACCTAAGCGAGAAGCCACCCACCTTTTCCAAGCCTCAATAGATGCCACTCATCTACTAAGAATACACACATGACTTGAACACGGCAAGTTTAACTGCGAATAGTTTGCGATATGTCTTAGGAGCTGTGCTATCGAAACAGACGGCATTTGAGATTCGCTGGTGGCCGTGAGGCAGTGTCAAACACCAAAGAGGCAGGTTAGTAAATACAATGACTTACAAGTTGTGGAGTACAGAGTAGTGGGAAAGAAAAATGTCTCTTGCCGCTCGCGCCGGCACCCTGCCGACTCTGGGGACGTGTGTAAAGGAGGGACGGAATCGAGAGGGATGCTGGGATGCACAAGACTGGGGCTCCTTGCATCTGAATCGCGGAACCAGGGTTGTCTGGGGTGCCGCGCATCCTTTTTAGGGATTGTATTCGGCGATGGGACGAATCTGGATACCGGCGATCATCCCCGATCGCCATGGGCTACTGCAGCGTACATCAAGACCTTACGAGACAACCGAGGGTCACTTTACAGCCTCTTGGCTCAATCAACCCTAAAAGACTGTATCGTCGCCTTTGAGCTCAGCTGAGAATGTTGGTCAGCGTGACTAGACGAGCTACCGCGCGGGGCCAAATCGACGCTTCTGTTCGACGTTTCGACCAGTATGAACCTTAAATGATTCAGTAACCATGCATCGGCACATTTCTCGCAACCGCTTCCTAGCTGCAATCTCCGGATGACCTGTCCCAGAAACCGGTTCTACTCCACTTGGCCTGTCAACCACGTGTGGCAGTTACAGCTGTTGTTGCTGAGCAAGCAATCGCTAACACGCTGCAGATATTGCGCCACCCAAGACAGCTCAGATAGAGCCAGGGATGTTGTGTGCATTTATCCGACCCTGCCCTTGCCCCCCTCCTTTCCCCTGATGCTCTTCCCGTAACCCCTTGTCTTTCTTTTGTCCATTCTACTGGAGCAAGTACGGATCCGTAGGTGTTACTCGGTCTGGGCCAATATGTCGTCGTTTAACGCGAGCAGCGCTTGTCTCTCGGCTGCCTTGTTTCCCCTGACCGTTGTGGGGAAGAGAGTTCACAATCGGCAGGTAAGACCGGCAGCATCAATAGCAGGCAAATTCGAAGTCTTGGAGGGTCGTTATCAGACGAAGTAGTCCCATCTTTAGGGGCAAGTTAAATCATATATCGGGTCGTCCCGAGTCGAGATACAATTCTGCAACATCTTGCGTCTCTACTCACTCGTTATACCTTTGTACATACGCACAAACACTCGTTCCTTTGCTCTTAAAGTCCCACTCAGACACTAGTCACCATGGCGTACGTCGTGAAGATGGCTGTGGCTGTGGCAGCAATGCCGCTCCTCGGAGCGCTTGCTCGTCCGTCCTCTCCTTCAGTCTGTCTCAAGCGACAGAACGACACAAATTTGCTGCCGAGCTACGACTACATCGTTGTTGGCGCCGGTGCCAGTGGACTTACTGTTGCTAACCGCCTTTCGGAAGACCCTGGTAAGTGGCAGAACGTTGGAAAGCGTCAAGCAACGAATCAAAAACTGACTTGGTATAGCCGTAACTGTTCTTGTTATCGAGGCTGGTGATCTGTGAGATTGCCCAAATGGACTAACAAGGTTTTCGTGTTCTGACGTATGACTTCTAGTGACGCGGGCGAGGATTATGTTAAGATCCCTGGATTGGCTGGCGGCGCCGTTGGAACCAAGTACGACTGGAACACGACCTACGCCGCAAACGACGCCCTTGGAGGCCGGTCTGTCTCGATTCCCCAGGGAAGAGTTGTTGGAGGTTCAACTAAGCTTAACCGCATGGTATTCGACCGGGGCTCAAAGTCTGATTACGATCGTTGGGAAAGCCTCGGAGCCACGGGATGGAACTGGGATTCTTTGCTTCCTTATTTCAAGAAGGTAAGTGCTTGTGTCCCCTAGTGGAAATCGTGAAGGTAAATCGTGTCGGTAATCTAACTCTATTTCACCCTACAGAACGAGAAGTTCACACCCCCGAAGGCCGACATCGTCTCTGAGTGGGGCGTCCAGGTTGATGATGCTGCTCACGGCACCGATGGGCTGATGCAGGTCACCTACTCGCCTTTCTTCTGGCCTACAACTAGTTGCGTCTCTCCTGCTCAAAACCATCGTAATGCCTAGGGACACGATCTAACCTCCTAAATAGAGTTCATGATCGACGCTGTTAAGGAGCTTGGGATCACCGTTGCGAAGGACCAGGCCAACGGTAGCCCGATTGGAGGTTACTTCTGCCCTCACAACCAGGACCCGACTTCCTCCACTCGTTCCTCCGCCAGAGAGGCTTACTACGATAACTTCACTGGACGCAAGAACCTCCACCTTCTCACCGGACGCCAGGTTACCAAGGTTGTCACCAGTGGGTCAGGGGATGCCGTTAAGGCTACGGGCGTTGAGGTGAGTCAAGGCTGCTCAGCCTTTCAAATGGAATCATCCAGCTAATGCTATGTTCAGTTTGCCGCCAGCAAGGGCGCTCAGGCGCAGACTGCCACCGCTGCCAAGGAAGTCATCCTGGCTGCTGGAGCTCTGCACTCGCCCCAGATTCTTCAGGTTTCCGGCATTGGCGACCCGGCTCTGCACACCAGCATCAACGTCCCTACTGTTGTCGATCTCCCCGCCGTTGGCCAGAACCTCCACGACCACGTGATGCTGACTGTTGTCAACACCAGTAGGAAAAATTTAATCTGAGATTGTCCTGACGCCAGCTGACTTGAAAAACCTAGTTAACACCACTCTGCCCGTCGGCTCTCTGCTCCAAAGCAACGCCACCTTCGCCGCCGAAGCTAGAGCCCAGTACGACAGCCAGAAGAACGGCCCTCTCAGCTCTCCCACCGGCGACTTCCTCACTTTCCTCCCGCTCTCGACATACTCCAAGGCTGTTGATACCCTCAGCTCCGAGGCGTCCGCCCAGGATGGAACCACTTTCTTGCCTTCAGGCGCCCCCGCTGAGGTGGTCAAGGGATACCAGGCACAACAGAAGGTCCTCAACGAACGTCTCACCGCCACCGACTCTGCACTCCTCGAGTTGATTTGGGCCGATGGTGTTGTTGTTCTCGGTCTTCAGCACCCCTACTCCCGTGGCTCCCTCAAGGCTGCTTCCTCCAGCACTTTCGATGCTCCCACCGCCGACTCCGCGTTCCTGAAGAACCCCCTCGATGTTTCTTTCTTGGTCGAGGGTGTCAAGTTCGCTCGCACCATCGCCGGCACCGAAGCCGTCAAGCCCCTTCAGCCCTTCGAGGTCGTTCCTGGCGCTAACGTTACCACTGACGCTGCCATCACCGACTTCGTTCGCCAACAGAGTGGTACTTTGTTCCATCCCGTTGGTACCTGCAAGTTGGGCGCAAGAGAGGAGGGCGGTGTCGTTGATGCCAGCCTGAAGGTCTATGGCATCAGCGGACTCCGCGTTGTTGACGCCAGCATCATGCCTCTTGTTCCTGCCACTCACATTATGACTACAGTCTATGCTGTTGCTGAGAAGGTAAGCTTTACGCAACGTCACTAAGCGCTTAGCCGTACCTGAGGTCATTCGCTAACAATGCTGATTTTAGGCTGCCGACATCATCAAGGGCAAGACTGCATAGAGGGAATGACGATCATGAAGCACGCTTATTTTCAGGGGGCGGAATTCAGTTTAACCCGGCCCATGTACATGCAACGCAAAATAGCATTTAGCAAGATTTAGCTCTTTTATGTCGATACAAAACCACGGGTTTTATGAACCAGCCTCGAGGTGATTCTCTTGAGCGAACTTGTTGTTCCTCCTCTCAAGTCATGAATCTGGCTTGTGTGTCTCACCTCGCACTATCCAATGACATTGAAACAACATGTAGATCTCTTTTACGATGACATGATTTCATTACGAGAAGATGAGCTCAAATTCAACAAATATCTACGTAGCTTGATTTGTGGTGCACCTCCTGCAATGATGGCCGACATTAAAGCGCTGTATTTAACAAACTGAATAGGCTTCAAGTGTAGCTAAGAATCAAGATAGCCATGTAGTTCTGAGCAAGCTTAGACGATGGATTTTGGGTCAGGCAAGAACGATGGAAGCATATTCTATACTTTAATCAACCAGAACGATTAAATCCAGTTCATTGACTCCTTGAGCAGGAGCATGTTAGTTGATATCGGCCCGCCTGACTTTCTTTATCGACTTGACAGACAATCGGCAACCCGCTACGAGAAGATCTTCGGCGCAATTAGCCCACCTCAAAGCGCTTATTCCATATCGTTCTTCAACTTTGAGCCAAGACCTGAGCTGAAGAGGACAAGTGCCTTCGATCACAAGCTCTTCCGCAGACTCGCGGCGTTCTTCCTCGCTCCCTCTGATTCGCATTTTCTTCTGTTTGGCCTTACGATTTGAGGTGATCTCAGGCCATGGAACTTAGTGTAAGTCCTGTGTCCTCACTTGGCCGGGTTCGACCTACCATGCATATCTTAAGATCTCCAGTGCCTGAAACTTCGCTGATGACGAACAAATGGCTATAGGCTCGCTGGGGTAGGCCATCAATGAATCCCTTGGGCAATGCTTCGGGGGGCTTCAAGATGCATCCTACATATTCAGGATTCAAGTCATTTTTCAGCTTGTTCTCGACTTTCACCCACTCCGAATTATGATCATTGCCCTCGTGTACGTTTGTGCTGGTAACCATAGCAGTATCATGTTGGCTCACGGATTGAGACAATGTTGTCGGTTGCGTTGTGCGATGCTCGTTCTTGGATAAAACGCCAAATCGATTAGATGTCGGGATTATGTGTAGAGGTGGCATGGCTGACACAAACAAAGACTCTGTTTCAATGTGGTGAAGCAAGTTATCGCTAGTTGGCTGGCTACAATCTCAAATCGAAGTAGCAGTCGCGGTACGTATCAATGTTCTAGTCTGGTCTAGATCAATGTGGTTTCGAAAACAGATTTCAAGAACATGTTGGGCGGAAAAAGTACCCGCGCAGCCTGGTGTGATTGTCTCCCAACCTTGGCGGCTTAGGCTACTTCCGTAACCCAGGAGATACGCAGGAAAGGTCAGGTGGCTATTGTCACATGTGTATCTTATTGGACGGCAACAGGCCGTGGGCGGAAGACTGCATCGCCTGATGCCAAACCGAGACGGCCAGTCTTTTGGTGCTCTAATTGGATGAGCGAGGTCAGAAGAAGCCAGAGTCTCGCTCAGTCTGGGCAAACTTCTGTTTTCAAGATGTTGACTCCATCCAATTCTACTCTAGCACTATGAGACAAGATAGAGAAAAAGAAGGGTCTGTGGAGTCAACCAAAAGAGAAGGCTGGCTGTGGTCGAGAAGATAGACATCGCATCTGTAGCGCCCCATGAAATACTTCTCTCCCCCCTCCCCAAGAACACACCCGTGTTCGACCCGGAAGCCTCACGATGATTCACACAATTGGCAAAACGGGCGTGCTGATCCAGCGCCATGCTCTCACATGCCTACCTCTATATCGGGATATCTTGCTTTTCGTAATAACGGCCTACGAGCTTGATTGATGTGGAGGAATGTAACTTGACCGCTGCATCACCCCCAGTACAGGCGTTTTACACGACAGAAGTCCAACCTTGAGAGCGGGATTATTGTCTCGTCAAACCTAAAGAGTGAGTAACTTTCACAGAGGGGCTTTCAATTCAAGCCTTGAATGCATGTAGCAGTCAATCAACGCAGCTAGATTGGCGTTGACTGGTTGTAGTGACGGACGAGGCTAGGGAGAAATACTCTTAACCTTGACGCGATTCAAGGCTAGTCCAAAGATTTCATGCTAGTCGTGTCTGTTGCAGCTTTCAGGGCTGAGTGGCCCGTAAGAGGAATACCATCAACATCCTAGCAGCCAGAGCTCCGTCAGAAACTGCTTTCAAGTGCTGTGATGCGTTAATGCTAGTCTATCTACAAATGATCACAGCATCGAAGCCAGGTTGCATTCTTGTTCCCTCCTAGACTTTGGGACTGGGGTTGTGTATGTATTGATGGAGCTCCTGAGATAAGCTTCCCCGAGGTCTATAGTCGCTGAGTAGCGATTGCGAAGTCGTATTCAACTCGGTATTCTTCGCGCCCAACGAGACCATGAACGCCGTGCTATGCAATTGATTGAAATCAGAGGGTGCCGCCAACATATTTGCAAGCTCAACTCCGCGAGACTACCAGTCCACCGCCCAGCCATTCTCCTCGAGGAACTCTTCACAGGCTTGTCTCAGGCCAAGATTAGGCCTCAACTCGGATGGCAGTAGGGGCTCGCGTGTGAGGGGATCGCTGGGGTGACGACGGAGATGTTCCATGATTGATGCCCTCTCATAAGACTTTCCAGTCTTCGTCTGTGATCGTGTTAGTAGGCAGCAAGCAAGCAGCAAGTAGACTGACTCACCAGTACAGGATCGACCATAATGCCGAAGCTGATGTCATCGATGGCCCACTCCGGAACCTCACGTCTCTTCTCCTCGGCAGAGCGACTCTTCTCAAAGGTGCTTCTCAGTATCTCGATCTTTTGCTCCCATTCAGCCTCAATCTCTCTCTTTTCCCCGTCGTCCATTGCGTTCGTAAGGGCTTGTTCACGTTCTTTCTCCATCAGCTCAATGACTTCGTTTTCGAGGTGTCGTGCTTCCCGTGTTCGCCGCTTCTCCATCCAATCCCATCTATCCTTCTTCGCGCGCAACACTTGAGCGGTGATGGCCGCCAGTGACTTATCGCCGGTCTGTACGCAAAGCTGGTGGGCCTTTTGTGCATTCGTGAGGGCCGAATCGTAGTCCTTGAGGGCGAGCTGGGCTTGGGAGAGGTAGTAGTGGGCCTTGAGGTTGTCGGTTGTAAGTCCGAGACACGATTCACAGTCGGACACAACCGAATCCCATATCTCGAGCTTGAGGCGTGCCATTGCGCGGTTGGTGTATAGAGCGGGGTTCTTCGGGTCGGCAATGATGCTATAATAGGCCAAGAATTAGCTTCTCAGTCGATATGATTGCCATGTCTAGCTGTCTGGAATACATAGCAGGTGGATCAGGCTGGGGCTGGCTCTGGATTCGTTTAGGTGAAGCTTACGCCTTGGAATACAGGGCCTCCGCGCCAGCATAGTCGCCCTGCTGGAAGTGGCGATTGCCTTCTTCCTTGAGCTGTATTGACCTCGACATTATGCTGTCGTTCCCTTTGCAATGTGTAGTTGTGGTTCGGAGGGTACAGTCCCAGTCCAATATTGAAGGATTGGAACTAGTAAGCGGAGGAGACGGTTCAGCGGCGGGCTGGAAGAACAGGTATTCAGTCGTATTATAAAGATGCAAAGTAGACGCCGAATGCAACGGTGCAACCTTAGCGAGTCTCGCCGTTCAAGTAGAAATCAGCCCAAGAGTTGTCTGTCGAGGCTCAGAACACCGAGACAGAAGGCTGCGCAGAAGCCAAGGAGGGTGACCTTCAATGCGTACTGAGGCGTACGGACTGCAGTCAGGGAAATTGGTTCGGTGATGAGGAGACAGGTATCCGGCTCGGTGAATGGTGTGGAGGAGAAGCCGTTGGGCACACCGGCTGCTGCAGCTCAGCCTCGGGGCGTCAATATGGTGTGCCAGTCGAAGATTCAGTACCCTCCGACGTTGCTGCTGCTGCTGCAGTACTTGGTCGCTGCTGTCACCACTCCAGTGGACGTTGAACGCGGGACCCCCGCCAACCCGCGCCGATGGGTTGGACGTGGATTCCAAGGGTCGCTTTCTCCGCCGACCCCACCTTCGCCCGGGACTTGCGGCTGTCATTACCTTCTCGAATCTTCCGCTTAGAAATGGGTGGCTGAGCCTCGGCCGATGCTCGTCCGACCACGTGATGTGGCTCAACAGCCTGCAAGTGTCACTCGGGCCCGCGAACTCGGCCGGAAGTGGGCCCTCCCATACATCGGCACGGAGATCTTCAAGTTCAAGTGCCTTATCCTTACGGGATCTTCTCCGTACCTTACCTACTATCGATACCTAAGTGCAATTCTCGACTACTCCTCCGACAGTAACGGCAGTAGCCCTTTTTCTTCGATTGACACACAACACAGTTCACACGACCAAGCCCCCCACATTTTACGCGCAATTTCTCGTCAACTACAAATCGGCCCTGCTCCTGCTATTCGCTATTATGGCTGAGTCTTTTATGAAAGCACGGACAGCCCACGAAGTGGGCATATGGAAACTATGCCGCAACAAATCAAGCCCCTAGTCAGCCATTTCTAGCCGAGCAACAAGAAAGAGCGTCTCGTCATCTTCCATTAATATTACCATTAGGCCCTTTGTAGCAATTATCCCTCTCCACCGATGCTATGGTCCTTCAGACTTCAAGCGGCTGATCCTGATCTCACAAACACGTCCCCAGATGCTCTCAGTTCTTAAACTGGAGGTGTAGTGGCCATCTGAATCCTTTTTTAATGTTCCGAATCTCTCCATCCTCCATGAACAACATGAAGAACAGCCACAGTCCACGGGCAATTGTTATAGCAGCGACAACAATCGCTACGATCTGGCCAACAGATAGTGCTCGATCGCCTTCTAGTTTGAATACGCCTTTTTTGTCTCCGGTCGATATCTCCGCTGCGGCCATTGCAGCAACCATGAAGAGTCCGTAAACGATGTACATGAGCGATACCGTTGTTGGGTATAGGGCAAATTTCATGTCCTGCGAGTGTGCTCCAAGCCAAGCTCGAAGTCTGCCTCGCCAAGTCGAGACCTCGTTGTGGTCTTCGCCCAAAGATGGGTGCGTTATGCCCTTGAGAGTGTCCCTTGGGTTCTTCTCGGCTTTGTGAAAGATCTGTGTATTCATGAGAGCATGAAAGCTGCTCTGAATGTAGACAACACATCTGAATGTGTAGTATAACCAGAACACGCTTGGTTCGTCTCTCTTGAAATCGATTGACGGGTCTTCTTTGTAGGAGAAGTTCTGTAGCTTTCCCCACCAAAACACTTGGATAAATCCGCAGTTGTCATCCGGAGTTAGGTGCGTATCGGATAGTGTACCGAGGAATCCTCGAACTAATATGGGTATGAGCACCATGCTCATGGCCTGGCAGAAGATCACTATGCCGACTTGCCACCTAGATGCGAGAGTCTGTTTGTTGATGAGGATGATCGAAAGAGCCATGTTCTGCGAGTCAAGAATCATGGCACCTAGGATTGCACTCGCCGGGGTGAGCATGCTGCGCTTTTTCTCACTTTGGATTAATTGAACAAGTACAGCAATAGCCAACGAGAAGTGTGTGATGATAAGGCCAGCGCCGATTTCCTTTGCACCAGTGACCTTTGAGTGGAATGTGCCAGCCAAGGCAATGAAGAAGATGACGAATTCTTGTGCCCAGACAGCTATGCGGATGCCATATCCTCCTATATCGGCATCAATCTCAGCTCGGCAAGTCGGTTTTGTAAAGGTGTCTTTTCCAAAGCCCTTTTCGAGATCGAAAATAATTGGAATAGTAATTATCCCAAAAATGCCGACAGATATGGGTGCGATCAAGTACTGGAAGAGTACAAGCGATTGACGGGTCATCTTTTTGTGAAAGAAGAAATGGAAGGAAGATTCGATGCCTAGATAAACGATCTGAAAGGTGAGAAATATAGCCAAGATGGCCAGTCTACCTGGCGTTGCGATACCCATTGTGTTGGGAGTGCTCAGAAGCAAGTTTCACAATTTGTCGGTTCTGGATTGTAGATGTTTAGTTTTCTATTCAAAAACCAGTCAGCGAAGCTTTTATGAATGCTTGGGAGGGAAGCCAAATTGTAGCTTGAGAGCCTTACCATGGAGCTCAAGGGAGGATTTGAAGAGGTGCAGCTGACACACCCTCCTGGATGGCCAATCCTACTTATAGCAGTTGTAAAGTGAGACTTGTGCAAGGCAGACCAATTGGGTTGTTTGCCACGATCCAGAGGGATGTGCCCGTGAGATCAGTGTGCAACCCTAAGGACACATCTCTGTTGTCTCGGTGTAGCCTCACAAGCCTCACGTCACTCCCTCAGTGCCTCACTCCAAGGCTGCCTGTGGCATTAGGCATCGAACCAAAGTTGTCTTTTTTAGTTGTCATTATCGAAAGGCTCCCTTTTGCGACGGGAAAGGAGATGGAAAACTCTGGAAAATAAAAAGAAGAATCAAGATCTCAATCTTTCATCTTTAGGAGTCAAATTCACTCAGGTAATCTTGAACTTTTTAGATGATTCTGCATCGATAAGAAGCAGAGATAGGCAAGTCCGTGTTCGTTTAAGAACTTGGCTGATACTTCAGTCTATCATGTCACATTTTTCTGTCTTATTACATTGCTCTTTAAACTCTTGTTTAACTACTGAAGGTACGGTAGCTTTGATAAGCCCTCTTTCTAGAAAGGTTTTCTGCTACTTATAGATTTTCCAACACTAGAGAATTTGGTCAAGTACATGGAGCTTAACTTAATGGGTTATACCTCTTGGTCCATCAGTCAATAACACTGTGTAACACCAAGATGAGTTGCCTGACACGCCATTATCTTGTTGTGTTCTGCTAATCTTCCCACGCAGGAGTTATGTAGACCGACAATCCCAGAGCTGCCATCTGCCATATCACGGACTGGATGCTTGAGTGGGCTCTTGTCTTGGTGAAGCCACCCAGGGTATCTCTCCTCCCGTTTATCAGTTCACGGTTCAGCAAGATGACCGCTCTTCTTGGGAATTCATTCTGCCCAAAGTGCTTGGCTCCCCGGCCTCGGACCGCTCCGGACCGAAGTGTGGAATTATCTTGCAATTGACAGCATTGTCCCATGGGCACCATTACGACACGCCGAAGTTGAAGCCCGTCTCAGCTCCGCCACCCCCAACAGCTCAATCAAGGCTTCAGAGTCACGGTAAGTCATTCTCGGAGATTCCTGGTTCAGTTGATGTGATCTGTCATAGCGCTGAGCTGTCACGGCCCAAAAGAACCTAGTCCCCGAGTAAGTCCATGTCTTGACTTTTTAGAGTTGGACCCCTAGATATTACTTACGAGATCGAGTCCCTGCATCCTGTGGGATAAACGCCTTATGCTAGCCTTCGATGGAATCTCCCACCTGTCAAAATCTCCTTAGTAGCCCACCGGGTTATTGACAGCTGCATGGCCATAGGGCCGTCCCGCCCGGGTCCCACATCCGTGATTATAGCCGATGGGATATCTCGACCCTGCATCGAAAGAGTTGATACATCACTTTGACAAGGAGTTTTCTCTCGTTTCCTACTGTTTGATGGCGTGTGTAGACATACTTCATCTCCACCAAGGGTCAAAGACCTTTTGGTCTTTGTCATTCTCCTAAGGCGATGGAGCATTTCTGACTGTCTGATATACCACCCTTCACGATGTATCCCATCAATTTGAGCGAGAATTTACTGATCAAGTCGTACGATAGTCTGGATGTGATCATGTTGGCCAGTGGCTGCGTCTTGGCGGCATCTCAAGTTCCATCAGGCAGTTGACGAGGCCGACATTCCGTTCGAGGTGTCAAGGTCGTGAGGGGGCGCTTTCAAACCTCATTATCGGAACGACTGAATCTAGCAAGAACACGAGTCATTGTTGCGGAGGCCTACTCTCTGGTGCTCCATGAAGTGTGTCTGGATACTGATCTCGTACTGTCGTGGAGAGTCAGACTGAGCCTCACGCTGCCTTTGTGAAATCTATAAAGACGGACTCTTTCCATCCTCAGTCGAGAAGTTTCAGACATCAACACATCATCCTCTCATCTCACAATCCAAACAACCTTCAACAACTCAACACCAATTCTCCAATCAAGGAACCCCATCCAAACCATCAGTAAGCGGCTTCCTCTCATCATCCAAAAGCCCCAAGAACTAACTCGAGCACAGAAATGAAGACCTCCGCCATCATCGCCGTCGCCGCCCAGGCCGCCGCCGTCTTTGCCAACTGCAGCGTCCAAGTCCTCGACGCCAACAACTTTCAGATCGGCACCGCCTGCATCCCCAAGGGTGGCCAGGGCTCCGTCCGCTACAACGGCGGCAACTACTTCATCACCGCCACCTCCAGCTGCGGCCTTGGCTTCATCAGCACTCAGACCCACCCCGCTGGCTGGCAGCTCAAGCTTCTCGGCAACTGCTAAGTTTCATATACCGAGTTACACAACAGGTAGTGCCGGGCTATGCCTTGGGGACGAATTTGGCACAGCTTTGATGGCTAAGGGATAAGCCAACGATTGGCGAGAAAATGGGGAGGTTTGACAGAGAGTGGCAATACGAAGGATAGATAGTCCTTACTTGGGTAGACTACGACTCTCAATGCTCATCGAATTACCTGCCAGTATTTGCTTCTTCTTCCTCAAACACAGTGAACATGTGTGGGTGAATGTGGTTCGAAAACCAAGATCATTGGGAGTATTAAAAGTGAAATAGTATCCTGATCGTTCTACGTGCTATGCATGAAGGACAATGTGACCATATGAGTACTGAAGTAGGCTCAGTCGATTTGACATCCACCAGTACGACTATGAGAACTACATGCCATAATTTCTCTTTTGAAGGTATCTTGCCGCTCCTGATATGCCAAGGACTCAACACGCCAACGCTTCTTCTTTGTGTCTCTGAATTAGTGGAGTTGTCTAACAAATCCCTTCCCAATTTCATATTACCTAGTGTCTTGATAAATTGACTTTGCCTTCAAGCGAGGTAACATGTACCTAGGATTTTGCCGAACCTGGGCGAGAAGTCATATTCAGGAGCTCTGAGATGTTCACTATGTCTGAAACTATTCCTTTTGTTGTGTATCAAATCAAGATAGGTATCACGAAACGGCAAAAGTTAGTTGATTGGGAACAATTGATTCCATATTTTTTCTCCCATTCGATTCTATTACATCCTTTATTCCTAGAGAATTTCGAACAAGAGAGAAACGAAATTGAAAACAGAGCGAATAAACTCAGAGAACAGCTGAGAATGGATGTACTGTCATTGTTCCTCAATTCCTTGATGGGTTATCGTCTTGCGAGGTTGGCATGTAGTCATTGGCTGGGGTCAGAACCCCCGAGAGTTGAAACCTCTGACATCTACACCATTCTTCAGGCGCTCTTTCTGGTGTTGACTTGATTTATGGAGAGTAGCCTCAAGCTGTGCGAATGAATCGTTTCTCTAGACTAGGTCTTCTTCCGGTATCTTGTTTGCCATGCCACCAGCCGTAGATCTTTGAGGTGTTGTCACGTATTTTAAAGTGCCGGGAGGTGGCTTAGTGTGTGGCTTGCATCCCGCCTGAACAACCCCGCAAAACCCCGCAAGTTTCCAAAGCATTTGAAGACGGATATCGCTAGATAAGATGGGTTCGAAAGAAACCTGGAGAGACACCGGACGAGACGCTCCAAGAGGGGAACTCCCAGTAGGCCGGCGCTGACTCGGTCAAGAGAGGGGTTGGACGGGAACCCGTCGGGCTTGGTATCACGGGAAGGATGGCAAAGGAAGTGCAAGATGGGGGACGGTCGTACGATCGTGCTCACAATAAGGATTCTGTTTGCTGACATCGGGACCAACCGCCGCCTGAGATGGAATGGGTCTGAATATGGAAAATAGGCGACGAACGGCTGCAAGCTGAAGCTGAATCGAGGGGTAAAGTCGAGACCGACAAGGTCAGAGTAGGTGGGTGTTACAACAGGTCGGCGACTTCAGATGAGAAGACCAATGAAACCCTCCTCCCAAGGCGACGGGCCTCTTTTGGTTGTAAGGTTACAGTTTTGCTTCTGTTGCTGCGAACAAGAGAGTGCATCTTCACTCTGACGTCGCCTTGATGCTACAGTACCTGATATTCCGTACCAAAACTTGACCCAAGAGGCCAAGGATAGCGGGGGTAGTACGCCTCGTGACGCTTGGCAAACGAGGTTACACCAGGCGCTGCGGTAGGAGAAAGGCTTTGCAGGTGTGCCGACTACGGATACGTTATAAGGACCTCAAGGTGAGAGGCAGCGCACCGTCCAAGACTAGGTAGCAGCGTCAAGGATTCCCGGAGCAAACATAGCGCGCCGCAAGCGATCTGTCATTCATGTTGACAAGCTGAGCTATCTCGGGGCGAGCGAACGGGTTCCTAAGGGGCACCCGATTAACCGAGTACCAATGTGTGCCAACCAAGGAGACCAGGCGCGAAGTACAGAAATGTGGCTGCACGTGGAAATCCTGCGCAGCTGTGCCGCTGCGTAGTCTGCGTCTCTCCTGGCGTTTCGGTTCCAGATCTGCGTGACGCTGATGAGCCTTACCCAGGCCCCAGCGAATAGGACGGGGTCTGAATCAAACGGGCTTTGAATTATCAGATCATGTACAAACAGCAAGGAGCAGGCACCGAAGCATCTAAGTTCATGGTTTGTGATTTGTGTGGGGAAAGCTTTTCGACAAGAAAAACTAACGGTTTTGGAGGGAAAGGAATCAGGCTTTCGAGTGACAGATAGCGCCGGATGCTTTCGAGAAGCAAGCTTCCCATAGGTACCTAGATCCGGGGTGATGCTACCTAAGACGACCAAGACGCCAAGTTTGTCCAGTCAACTAAGTACTTCGTACGGATATGTCACGGCATATTTCGGATAGAAGAAGATTGGGGATGCAGACAGACCCGAGGACTGAGAGAAATGACTGACGGATGGAAAGAGGTGAAGATGATTGACCTCGGATAAGATAAGATAAGCGGCGGATGTGAGTGGACGAAGGAAACGCCGGCCCTCGAGGAGGTCTTCATTCCTGCCCCGACTTTTCCAAGCCGAGACCCCACAAGGTCGGCGTTGGTCGGTACATGTGGATACGTAACTCTCTTCCCCTCACGCCGGGACAGGACCCGAGGGGAAAAGTCTCGACACTCTGTAACCAAGTCTCTAAATGGACCTATGGCGCGCCGGTAATTACTCACAAGTGGACCCAAGCCCGTGCACGCCAGTCGGTCGCAAGGTCCAACTTCCGGATTCCGGGATTGGCCGAACGGGGGAAAGGGCAGTCCTGCGGCTCGACCTTACTATGTAGAGACTACAGACTGTAAGACTCGAGTGCGTGAGTGTTCCCCCCCCTTCACTCATGTGCCTCTCATCTGCCATCACCATTCCTTTTCCAGCCGATTCCACTCGCCCCCTGGCTCTCCCACCCCTCCCACCCACATCCAGTTTGGCGGGCCACAAGTGAGTCGACGTCAGGATTTATCTCACACAAACCTGCATCCGATGCCTACCGGTACTCGACCACCCTCCCCCACTGCGACTTGACTCGACAGCCAGAGCCAGAGACCAGGGCACACGCGAAGCACTCCGACGCACGCCGCTTTCTTCCCGACATACAGCACCATCCCGCAGCGAAGACTCAGTCAGCCAACTTCCCCATCCCATCCATCCCGCCCGTATCGCGCCTGCGCTGCAAGCCTGCACCTCTACGCCGATCACTCATCCGAGTCCACCCCAAGGCGCTTCCGCGATCGAAATACCGCGCGCAGGATCGAGACTGCCTCTTCACCCCGCCAAACACCATATATCACCCACGATAACGACCCTTCTGTTACCGTCACCCCTCGTTCCCCTGAGCGACGTTTCTACATACACACTGACGAGCCCACAATCAACGCAATCCCGATTTTGAGTGCCCCCCTCGCCTCGCTGCGGCTCCTCATTTCTCTTCCCCGTACGAAACCGTGTTGCAGCGCAAGCTTGGACGTCTTGCCCCAGGATCGACCCGGCTCGGGCACGGATGACAGCATAAACCCCAGCAACCTAGAGGGATATCATACCGGAGAATAGGGGTCCCCAACCGAAGCGCTTGCTTTTTTACCCTTTCGTCGGCGGAACCTCCCCGTTACGTCTTACGTCAAAACACGGCAATCTCCTCACTCTTCTGCAACGACACACGCATGACCGGGTGCGGCTTCGATCTGCATACTACGAATACAACCACAGTACGGCAAAGGCGACCGATGACATCGCTGTCCGACGCATCCACGATGCCTTCTCAACGACCTTTCTTCCTCTCCACCTTCTTCAACTCCTTTAGACAACAGTCTCCTTCGGCGACGGCGCTATCATCGCAGCAACCGAATAAGCATACCACGCAAGCATCATCGTCATCGTATGCCACACAGTCCGCCGCTTCAGCGCCACGAGCCATTTCCTCGAATACGTCAACAAGTAGCGGCGGAAACAACGCCAACGCCAACTCGACGACCCGTTCGACATCGGGAGTCGTGAATCAATACCCACTTCACTCCCCGCGGGGTGGCATCCCCATTCCCGGTAGCGCCAACCGACGGCGCGGAAGCGACAGCAGCAGTGAAGGATTCCGCGATGTATTAGGTGCCGATAAATGGTACATCGGAGGGCGGACCGCTGGCGGCGAGGAAAAGTTCTTCAAGCTGGGCGTTGTCAGGAGGGTGCGCAGTAACGACGGCCTGAGTTTGGATCGACTGAGTTTATAGAAGTGAAGGACGGCGGCGACGGCGACGATGATGACGATGGATGACGGCGAAACGGGTGGTCGTATGAATGATCAGACATGACGAAGGCTTTTAAACGTGAAATGGGTATATAGGCGGAACTTGGGAAATCGGCATCATCAATGAGCCCCCTTTAACGATGCATCGATGGGAACATATCGAACAAATCCTCAGAATCATGAGGCCACTGGCGTTTTGGAAGGATTATGGTTTTTCTTTTCTGAAACAAATAGCAACCTGAAAAAGGCTTAGAGCACACATGAGAGTGCAAGAGAAAAGCATCAAGTTGAGCAAAACAAATGGACGGGTCACTTTCTACATTCCTTCTACCTCGGTTCTTGTCCACAAATCTGTATCGACTAGCCTCGAGGAGGTGATTCTTTTACGCAGGGCAGTGATCCATCTACCACATGAACCGCTGCATCCGACCATTTTCCAATACCCTGCCATCCTCTGCCCTCCATAGGTATGGCTTGCCGAGGAATATGTACATGGTGATCAAGTTGACAAGCACGAACCAGAGAGTCTCTAGCATAAGTCGCACATCAAACTTCTTTCCGAACCTGACCAACGAGCCCAGGATGGGCAACTTCTCGGCCTTTGAGAGAACCGGATGTGTGGCAGCGTGGTCGTGGAGTCTCCACGCCGGGACGAGAATGCGCCAGAAGACCCAGGGGAGGATGAAGTAGCGCGGCTCGACGAGGGGCGCCGTCATTAGCGAGAGGGTCGTCGCGAGGAGGAGGAGGATTGCGGTCGATGAGGCGGTGGGCTCTGTGGTGTAGGATGTCTGGTCTGCGAGGGTGATGATGGCGTAGGGGTTGTGGCGGTCCTTGGGTTCTTTTCCTTCTGCGTTTGTGACGGCCTCGGAGTCGTCCAGAGGCTCTGTTGCAGGGGGCTTTTCTTCGCGGTAGGGGCTTGCGGTGCTAAAGGGGTTATTCTGCCATGGTCCGGGACGGAGCGCGGTGTACCGCCCCGAGCAATCAGCGGTGTGGTCTGAGAGGAAACCGCCTTGGCCGCAGCCGGCGAGTGCGTCCCAGCATAACCAGCGGGCGAGGGTGTAGGGGATGATGAGGTAGTAGCGGAACAGGCCCGGGCGGCGGATGGTGTAGCGGAAGATGTAGAACATGTAGTGTCTGTTATCTGCGAGGGTGAAGGGGTGAATGATGGTGTTGAATCTGACGACGAGCAGGGTCAGAAGGAGGAGGGCGGGCGTTAGGAGGAGGTGGTAGAGTTTGGAACCGATGACTTTCTGGAGGGTGGTGAGGATGATGGAGGTTGAGGGGGTGGTTGCTGAATCGAGTTGCTCGGTAGAGTCTTGAGTTTGGAGTTTTTGTTTCTTTGAAGAGCTACCTTGAGCAGGTCCGCTGAGAGCGTGCTTGCGGCCGTGTGTGCTGCTATCGGAGTCTGCGCCCTTGACTGTGCTCGTCTTGAAGGTGGTACGGTAGAGACCGTGAACGAAACGGAGGACCCCAATGACGGAAGGTAGGAAGAGTGGGAAAGAAAAGAATGCGAAGAGAGGCCAGATGTAGAGCATTTGGGCGAGGTGGATTGTCGCGACATGGTTGGATTTATCGCCTGGCGACATGTTAGTCCTTGTATTCACTAGAGTTTTATGAAGAAAACACACCGAGCACGACGCCGCCGTTCCAGGCAACGAAGCCGGCGAAGAGGGCCATGATGGTAATGTGCGGATAGACCTTCTTTAGTATGCGAAGAGGATTAGCCAGAGCCGCGATGCTGATGCTCAGCGCGGAGAAGAATAAGTCTGGTCTTGTCAGTAGAATTCCTTCCAGCTGTGTTTCAGTAGACTCACCATCTGGCCACGCAGTGTTGAGAGGCGGATCATGCACATCCCCAACAGAGTATCTCCACCCGTAGAATTTCACAACCTCGCCGAGTGTCGTCATGCTGGGCTTAGCCACCGGATCAGGACGGAGGGCCTTGACAGCGGCGACAGCCTCCAAGCCGCCCATATACACGACAACCCAAAAGACATTGGTCTGTCTCATGACAAGAGTCAAGACGCCGAGGACGATAGTGATCCAGTCACTCAAGAAAGAACTGCGCTCCTCACGGACGCGGTGGAGGTGGTGATAGTAGGCAATAAGGACTGACAGAGTCGAGACGACGTCGGTGTAGTACAGACCCGAGAAGAAGAAGAGAACAGGAAAGAGGGCAATGTTCCAGCCCAGGTGAATCGAGTGGAAGGAGAGCACTGCTGGGGGTGCTGGGGACTTGGCGTCGGGGCGGCGATTCTCGAGGAGATGGCGGCAGTGAGTCGCGAGGATGCCGACGCCGAGAATGGCGATGATGTTGACGCCACGGAGATCGAGGACGGAGCAGTCGGGTCTCATCATCACTTGAAGGTAGTATTTGGATAGAATGTACCTGGAGATTTGTTAGCTGGGTGTGGTCATGGGTCCAATGAGAATGGCGGCTTACAAGCCAGGAGGAGTGGTAATCTTGTCATCCCACTCGTCCCATCTTCCTTGACAGAACTTCTGGGCTTGAGGAATATGAAAGATCTCATCCTATTTTTTTGTTAGTATGGTGGGATGGTATCGATCTTACATATGGAAACTGAGCTCACCAGGTATGGCTTGTCGACTTGGGCCATGACATTGCTGCACCAGATCCAGCCGAGGATGAAGATGATGATGTACGACACGCGCATGAGCACATCGTAAATCTTGTTTGTCTTGGGTCCCGAGGGGTCGGGATTGGGCATCTTGGGGGTGATGACCCATAGTAGAGAGTAGAGAACGACGACGGACAGGATGTTGAGTCCGTCGACGAAGGCTTCGACGGCCTTCATGTTCAATGTGAGCTGCCCAGAGGGCAGACGAGATTGAGGTGGCTGGCCGTGGGGTTATGTTGGTTATGTTGGATGTAATCACTCAAGATGTGGAAAGAGGCCAAGAAGGAATTGAACAGAAATGAGTGTCAGAAAACAAGGGGAATGTGGCTTCGCCTGGGGATACAATGAGTGGTGGGAGCAGCAGCAAATGATCTCTTACACAGACAAGTGAGGTGGAAGAAAGTGAACAGTTCATCATTTGGCGAAGATGCAGCAATTACGCGTCTTCGCACTGTTTGCGCACGGCCTTTCACTTAAGCTACTCGCTGAAGAAAGGGGCAGTTCAGCTCCCTGACAAAACTACTTTTACCAATGTTGTGTTTTGAGATGATGCGTAGAAGATACATAACACAGAATAGTTGCGTTGACTAAGTTCTCGAATCACTGCCTTATTCAAACACATCAACTAAAGTCAAAGAGTCTATTGTATCTTTTATACAAGCCCCGAAGGGTGGACACCCCTCCATCCCAACACCTCATTCAACCATGCTCACCACATTTTCAGCATTAGAAAAGCATAGCCAAGTTATGAAAGGCATTTAGAATGGCTGTTTGTCTAATGTTAGCATGTTGCCTTGGTGGTATTCGATCTTGAGGAAAGCTCACGTTGTCAGACGCAGGGGGAACCTCCTTGAGGAACTTGGGGCCAACAATGGGGATCTTCTGTAGAGGGTGTTAGTTCTCAGGTGAGTCCATTTCGGAGACGCAGTCTGCCTTACAACAAGGATGTCGTTCTGAATTCTCGGGATGCCGGAGGTGTAGAAGAGGGCGGCAACACCGGCGGCAGCGCCAAAACCTGCAGCGCGGGTTCCGCTAGCATGATAGGTTAGTTAATCCGTTCCGAATCTTCCAATTGTGTATAACTCTGTGTTGTGACGGTATCCGATAACTCCTCGTCGCCTCATGTCATCGTCTGTAACGTTCATGTCGGCGGAACAGTGGCAACGGCAATAAGGGTTTCTTGGGCCGAGAGTCGGAATCGTGATACTGAATGCCGTGCGAAGAGTCTAAGGGGCAACTCACAGCTTAACGACGGAGGCAATGGTCCAGCCACCAACGTTGGGGATTGTGTTGTACCTAGATCCAAACAGTCAGCCCACTGCTCTTTCGGTCCATTGCTCATCGCATGGAGTTTGTCTCGCGGTGTCGGGAATTCGAAGGCGCTTGAGCAGCCATAGTCGAGAGGGATCAATCGTATGGGTATCGTAGGACGTACTTGGGGCCGAACTTGCTGCGGAAGGCAGGGTACAGAGTACCAACGCGGGCCTGCATTGCGACTTTTGTCAATATTTTGTCATGTCTGAGTGGCCTCAGAAGTGTGAGGCAAGAGCGTGGAAGCTCAGGTAGCGGTTTGGCTTACGGGGGAAGGCATCTTGAATGTGGTGGTCGTGCGAACGAACTGTGGGGTGTTCAATTGCAGATGCAAAAGAGTGAGGTCGTGAAAGAATGGTGATGTTGCGCGAGTTTCTTAGCGGGAAAAGCCGGCCGGATTTCCAATGCGCCTCAGGCTACAGGCTGGGAGAGAACATTGAATCCCGGAGCCAATGGGCGTGCTGCCTCTGGTGGGCCCACAGTACGGTCTAGCGGAGCTCAACTCAGCCTTGCACCCAAATCCTCTCCTTCACACCACCAGCTAGACCAGCGTTCTCGGCCGATCGACAACTTTTGACCACAGCCATGGACAAGATTATTGACGTGCGCTTTGAGCGCGTTGAGAAAGCCCTTGCGGTTCTCATTGAGTCGGTATCCAAATATCATCCCCACGCCAAGCAGGCATTGGACCTCCACGAAGCAGACCATGACCTCACAAAAGGCCTCGACGAGGGTAAGCTTACCTCCGACACAAGCTGCCAGGCTCCCATGCTAATTCCACGATCACAGTTCAAATCCATCAAAACAACAATCTTCGCCTGCAGCAACTCCGAGCAACGACTACCTCCCTCGACACACAAATCAGAGAGACGCTCTCCAGTCTAGCAACAACACGGAAGGACATCACCACGACCCAAATCACCGTCCACCCCGAAGGACCCAACTACCCCGTGAAATATGACGAGCTCCTCAACTATGCCCGCCGTATCAGTAAAACCACTCTCCCGCCCGCCGCCCTCACAAACGGCGGCCTCACCGCCGGTGGAGGCTCTCCCGGCCCAGACCCGAACGCAAGCATGACCACCAACCCAAACACCCCCGGCGCAAACGGCCTCCAGAGCCAGCCCGTAAGCGCCGCTCCGACACCCAGCCAGAGTCAGACTCCAGGCCCCTCGGGCGGAGCAAACGGCAGCCCCGTCGGCGGATCGCAGGACCTCCTCCCAGGAACGCAGCAAACGACCGCGACCTCGCTACCCGACGGCCTGCGCAACCACCTCAACCCTCACTTCAACGCGACGTTCGTGCCCTGGCCGAGCGAGGGTATGATCCGCGGCGGTGCCATGGCCATGTATCAAAACCTCGCGGACTCGGGCACCGATCCCCGCGGCTACGATCCGCAGCAGATTGCCGAGGCGAAGCGGAAAGAGGAGGAGGAGCGCAAGGTCCGCGAGGAGCAGGAGAAGGCCGAGATTGAGAGGAAGAACCGGGAGTACGCGGAGAAGATGGAGAAGATTCGCCGCGAGCAGCAGGAGGCGTACCGGCGCGACAGTGTGGCTGTTGGCGCTGGTGCCGGCGCCTCCTCGGCTGGCAAGAGCAAGCAGTTCCAGTTTACAAGTCTCATGGACGATGACGACGACGACGAGTAGCTAACGAGCCACTCTACGGGGAATGTTGTACAACGTAATTCACACAAGAAAAATCAAATGAAGAGAACTGTACATGCGCTGTTGTTTTACTCAAAGCTGGAGGCAGCTCGCTCCCGTCTACCAATCCCTGCCGTCTACCATCTAACAAGAACATCATTTTTTTGAACCTCATGACCAACCACGCTCTGCTTCTAGGCCAAAGCGTGTCATCAGAACTACAATGCAACGCTCGGGGGACGAGAGTTAGTATTCGTACAGAAACGTTAATACAATAGCATGAACCTGTCGCCGCATGTTAACGCCCGAATGCAATGCCATTTAATCAATCTTGATGGAGGCGTAAATCTTCCTGACGAACCACCAACTTGCGAAGTAGCCAATGGACCCTGCGAAGCAACGTTAGTATAAGTCAAAGCTGAGGGGCGGCAGGCAAGCTTACCAGTAAGAATGAAGAACAAGAAGGAGATCAGAGCACTGTAGCCGACGTAGAGGACGGTACCCGCCAGGTTGCTCAAGTTCAGCTTGGTGAACAGGTACAAAAGGCAGTTGAGGAAGATGTAGCCACCACTCATACCCGCAGCAAGGAATGATCGCCACTGCCAGTTGTAGTTCTCGGCGCAGAGCAAGAAGTACACCATGAGAATGGTGACGGCAGCAGTTGTAACGATCATGAGACCGTACGAGAGGAACAGGAAGCCGAACATGTAATAGATACGGCTGAACCAGACGGAGCTCATGATGAAGTAGAGTTCGACAAAGATGGCACCAAAGGGCAGGAGACCGACAATGAGCATGCTGGGAATCGGTCTGAGATAGGAGGTGGCAGGAGGAATCTGGCGAGGAATTTGGTTGGTCTTGACAGGCGCCTCAATGGGAGATGCGCGGAAACCCATCCAGGATCCGGCGAACGACAGAGGCACCGACAGGATGAACCAGATGGCAATGATGACCAGCATGGTAGTGAAGGGCACGGCGCCGGAAGACTGCTTCGCCCAGAGGAAGAGATCGAGGAAGAAGAAGGCACCAAATACGATGCTTGGCACCAGAATCGGAGTCAGCGCAATGTTCATCTTCCACTTCTCGCCCTGCAGCGATTTGTACGTTCTCGCCGAGATGTAACCGCCCACAAAGCCCAAGATGGTGTAAAGAAGCAGGATGATTGTTCCGAGGGATCCACGGTTAGAGGGCGACAAGAAGCCGAGAAGGGCGAAGCAGATGGTGAAGCCCGTCATGACAAAAAGCTGAACACCGTTTCCGAGCAGGACCGAGAGCAGAAGAGGGTTCGAAGGGTTGCGGAAGACGTCTCCGTGGACTAACTTCCATCCCGAATCCTCCTGTACGCCATCTTCTAGCGCCGAAGTACCAGAGAGGTCATCCAAGTTGATCTGGTCAAGGCGGTTGTACCTCGCGATATCCTTCTTCAGAGCTCTGACGAGAATAGACATTACGGTAAGGATCAGAATGATGACGATAATTGCGGTGTCAACGAGCCAGAACCAGTGGATCTTGGGATCGAATACGTGCAGGTACTTGTCCCAACGGGTAGCCCAAGCTGTCTTGGACTCGATCCAGAACACCGAGTACGAGAACTTGACCTCCTTCTCAGTGCCGTCTTCCTCGAAGATGATGGGCTCCATCTGGTTATTGCAGTCGAGCAGACCCGGGTAGGCACGCGAGCTCGGCTCGACAACGACACCGACGACGCGCAACTGCGACTGATCGCCGTTGACGGCGTGGTATTCAACGTTGATGTCGTAGTGATTGTTGAAGATGACGTTGCCATTCTCGTCCTCGCCGCCCATCAAGAACCCAGGGTTGTAGAAAGTTGTGTTCGTAAAGTCATCGTAGATCTGCTGTCCGGCGGGCAGGCCGTCCACAAGCCAGTTCAAGCTGTAGCCCTGCTCGATGCGGCGCTTGACAAAACCGACGGCCGCCGGGGGGTATTTCTGGATGCAAAGCGGCTTGCACTTCTCGTCGTTCTTCATACGCAGCTCGAATGGCGAGGTCATGATGCGATCTCCGAAGAGAATACTGCCCAGGCTCTCCGATACATACTCAGGACGGGGTTCGGGCTCGCAGAACTTGAAGCCAGGATGGTAGTAGTCGTAGGAAACAATTGAGTGCAATCGAGAATCGGAGGGAGCGGCGACCGGCTTGATGCTGTTCACGTAGAGAGGAACGACGTCGCCCTTCTTGTAAGAGGTAGGCGCAACACCTGGCAAGTAGAAGGCGGAAGCGAGCTGTGGGATAGCCAGCAAAGAGGCCACGAGCGCAGACGAAGGCGCCATGTCTCGTAGTTGCATCGTGTCGAGATGTTAGAGCTCTGCCCAAAGTTGCGATCAGTCTTGATACTTTGCGAATGAGAAGATGGTGGCCAAAGGCAAAGTAGCGTGAAACATGAAACCGATGGGAATAGCTACCCCGATGGATGGATCGCGATTACGTACCCTTGGTTCTCGGTAAGGTCCAGGTAGCGCAAAGCGGCTTATAGCCGGTGGATCATCCGGGTTCCGTCTGCACCTGGATGATGGTGGTAAAAGCGGTTCGTCAAGAACACGACGAGCTCGCGGTGATGTTTGTGCAAGAAGCAGAGTTGCTCTGTGGTGGACAGATGGCCAATTGCCTTTGTTGTGTCAGGTCCGGGAGCTTCGTATCTCATTTACAGGAGCTCCTACTGCCTCTCGAACAACTGTCCCAAATGTGGCTTAGTCACCATGCACCCCTGCAGCTCAGCTCCTGAAGTACATACCCATAGGTACCTTCAATCACACCCGACTGGACCAGCCGGAACATTGTCTGTCCGGGGTCTTTCGGCTGCCCGGTACCTTGGGCCTGAGGAACCCAGCCATACCCAGGTAAGGTACGTAGCGGAGACCGGTGGTCGGGGTCCACAAGGTCCGATGCACCGGTCCCCGCAATAGCGCAGATCAGTTTAGCAGTTGCAAAAAAAAATCCTGCACCGCGCTCTTGTTCCGTTGCGGTCTCAAGTTTTCAACGAACAACATACAGCATCGCCAGATTCAAAATGGCGGCACCAAGCACCCTTCCAGCGCTGCTGGATTCTTTGACGCAGTCATTGACGACATCACTCGACGCGGCACCAAAAGGCTCCATTGCGCCGCCTCAAAATGGAATTTCACTTCTCGATACCAAGAACGAGCTTCTTGCTTCCTACCTGCAAAATCTGGTCTTCTTGATCCTTCTGAAGTTGCGCAACGCCAAGAAGCAATCCAGCGACGACGACAATGCCGGCGGGACTATGGAGACGGTTGTCAAGAAGCTGGTCGAACTCCGACTGTACCTCGAGAAGGGTGTCCGGCCCCTTGAAGACAAGCTGCGTTACCAGATCGAGAAGATTCTTCGCGCCGCGGACGACGCCGAACGGAACACCCAAGCAGTCAAGGCCGCGCAAGGTGCAGGCTCTGACGACTCCGACGACTCTGCTTCTGACGGAGAATCCGGCAGCGACGAAGAGGAGGAGGAGGAGGAGGAGATGAAGGCAGCCCACCTTCAAGCTCGGCCAGATGCCTTTGTCAGACCCGCCGCTGCCTCCTCTGCTGTTGCAACCGCGGCGAAGAATGGTGTCTACCGACCCCCGAGAATTGCGCCTACCATCATGCCCTCTGAGCGCAAAGAGAAGTCTGATCGCCGCCCACTCAAGTCCCACACCATGGACGAGTTCATCGAGCACGAGCTGTCGACTGCTCCCATCGCCGAGCCCAGTATCGGAACGACTATTGTCAATGGTGGTCGCAGGATGAAGACGGCCGCGGACCGCAAGACGGAAGACGAGCGTCGCGAATACGAAGAAGCCAACTTTACTCGTCTCCCCACGTCGAGCAAGAAGGCAAAGAAGGAGGAGGCTATGCGTACCGGCAACGGCAAGCGTATGCAATTCGGCGGAGAGGAGTGGAGAGACCTCGGCGAAGGCGTCGACCGAATCAACAGACTCACGGCCCGCAAGAGCGGTGGCGGCAGCAGCCGCGACATCCTCGACAAGAGCCGGAAGCGCGGCCGGGACACCGCGGACGGACCAAGGGGCAGTGGCCAAGTCGAGATGGGCGAGAGATTCCAGAAGAAGGCCAAGATGTTGGAGGCGGGCAGACGCGACAGAGGCAAGCGATAGACGGAGATACCCACGATATACGCGGAGCAGCAGCAGCATTAGCAGCGGCCATCACAAAAAGCTGTGCCGAGGTTCTAGGAGCCAATTCATTCCCGGTTCGTTCAACTTTAAAAAAGGAATGAATCACCTCATCGTGTTCGTGTCTGTGTGTCATGTGTGTGAGATGCGCTTCAAGCGTGTTCCTGGATTTTTCAACTGTTTGGTGGTGCTGAACCAGGCTGGCAGCGCTAAGGCAGGCCGGGAAAAGGCGGAAGGGGATCCGATCGGCCACTGATCTCCAAAATCCCCGACGAGAAAAAATGCCTCTTTAGCTCTAGACTGCCACGACGGCCCAACCAGCTTCACTGACCAAGGCCTTGGTTCTCCCTTGGTTCTCGGACTATGCACCAAGGCCCTGCCATGTTGAGCCAGTCCGACCTATTTTCCCATGTCAATTTCTCTTCATCTTTACCCTTCACACAGACGCTGTATCTGTAAGGTATACTTCGTACACAGAGTTTCTGTCATGGCATTGGGTCGTACTTTTATCCCGGAAGAAATACTGCGTGGTTTTCCCAACGACTGGACCGGATGACGGCCCAAGCCCCCCCCCCCCCCCGCCCTGAACTGTCCCCGTATGTGTCCAATTAGGGAGACATCTGGCGAGACTGAGCCAAACCCTCGTCTTCACATGCTTCAATGCGGGCGTTTCAATGGGTTCCCTAGCGTTCTTGGTGACGTCAATTGTCGATAATCGAGTGGGCCTGTTCGCCGGTCGTCTCAGTCTCACCTCACCTTACAGGCTCACCTTGGCAGCAGCTACCTTCTCACTGCCTACCAGCAGCAGCGGCAGTACTAGCACCAGGGGAAATGGGAAGGAGAGCTCACATGCCAGCTACCTGCCCAGAGCTCCCGAAGCTCCCTAGGCTCATCACTCATCCACAGATAGCAAAAGTAAGTAGTTCGGAGAGTACCTACTCCGTTTGACAGATAGGGTTTAATACAGCTTCGTGCCCTCTCCCTTCCTTCGCATCGCAGTTCATCGCGATCAACACCTTTTGCTTCACTCCAAACACACACACCCAGCTGTACCAACTGCTGTACACCTGCTCCCCAACACCACCGATTCCCTCCAAGGCTTGCGGCCTACTTGCCACGATGCCGTCCGAATCTCGCGTAGAGAATCCATTCTTCCACCCCTTCCTCTTCGTCTTCCAGATATGGCAATGGTTCGCTGATAAAATCTTCTCGCCCACCCCTCCCGAGCCCAGCACTCGCCTCAGTCGACCCAAGGTTGCTGTCATTGGAGCTGGTATCACTGGTGTTACTTCCGCCGCGCACTGCATTGGCCATGGTTTTGATGTGGTCATCTTCGAGGCCGGTGGCCGCGAGAACCTCGGTGGTATCTGGAGTGTACGTTGCCCATTGAAGCCCAACACCCCCATGCTTGGTACTAACGAATCACATAGAAAGTGAACAACTCGTCCAGTCTTCAAATCCACTCCATGATGTTCCGCTTCCACCCCTCGGTCAAGTGGGAACGCGGGTATCCCGACAGACAGCAGATCCTAAGCCAGGTAAAGCAGCTTTGGCAGAAATATGGACTTGAGACACGCACCAAGTTCAACACACCAGTGGAAAAGGTCTACCAGGATGAGAAGGGCAGATGGGTCGTCAACAACACTGCCAATGGCCACTTCGAAGGCGTCATCGCCGCTGTTGGTACCTGTGGAGAGCCCAAGATGCCCCAGCTCCCGGGCATGGAGAAGTTCAAGGGCAACATCTACCACTCCAGCCAGCTTACTGGGTATGTATGTTCCCCACCTTTGGCCCCAAGCTTGCTAACTAAATTCGCAGCAAGAACGCCAAGGGTAAGAAGCTCGTCGTCATCGGAGGTGGTGCCAGCGCCGTTGAAGCTCTGGAGTTTGCTGTGGATGAGGAAGCTGAGAAGACTTCCATTCTGTCTCGCAGCGACAAGTGGATCATCCCTCGCAATCCCATCGTGAACATGCTTCTTGCTATGAACATCCTCGGTCAAGAGACTCGTCTCTCTTGGATCCCGGAGACGCTGCTTCGCAAGTTTTTCTACCGAGACCTGCAAGACATCGCACCGTACGACAAGGGCATCTACATGGATACGCCAATGGTAAATAGCCATGTCATGGAGACCATCCGGTCCGGCCACGCCGAGTGGGTTCGCTGCGATATTGAGGGCTTCACGGCGGAAGGTGTAATTGTCAACAGACGCGCTCAAGGTGTTCCCAAGGGCGGCCCTGGCAGAAGACAGGTCATCCCGGCCGATATCATCGTCATGGCCACTGGATTCAAGCGCCCGTCCCTGGAATTCTTGCCTGATGACTGCTTCAACGAGCCGTACTCGCCCCCCAACTGGTATATCCAGACTTTCCCTCCAAACCACCCGTCTATCTCAGCTATCAACTGGTAAGCATCTTGCTCATGGCTCCTGCGAATGAACTTGGCTCTAACAACTTACAGCACGTACGTTGCTGCTATCGGCACAGTCGGAAACTGGCACATCGGCATCTATACCAGAATCCTTCTGATGTTCCTCATTGACCCATTGACAAGACCCCATCCCTTCTGGATGAAGGCCTGGATCGAAATGACCAAGCTTCTGAAATCTGCGTCGCCCACCGGTGCTTTCGACTTCTTCACTTATCTCGAGCTCATCTGGTGGTTCGCCTTCAGTGTTACCTTCAACCCATTCCGCTGGAAGTGGGCATTCTTCGTCTTTTTCGGATTGGGCTTCATGCTTCCTAAGCGCGTCGTTGAGGTTGAGAGTCGGATTCGCAACGGAATGGGTTTCCATGAGGATGTCGGACGCGATGTAGGACACAGCATTTAGAAAAATGCCAAGCGTGCTCCGAATCGCGACTGAGTAACAGCCGACAAGGAGCTCTTTGAAGTTAGTCCTGACATGGTCACCTGGGCTTTGGTGTTTCACAAAAGCCCTGGAGAGAGTCTGCAAGCAAAATGCATCGTGTACGATAACTGGCATGGATTAACGAGACTTTCGAAATGAGACATCGCTGCTAGTTTAGGTTCCTCATCATTCAGTCCAGTCCAACCCAACCAAAGTTGGCTGCCACGCTGCCTCTCTATCCCACCAGTGTCCGTTGTGGAACATGGTCATCAGGAAGAGGACTCGAGCGATACTAAAACCGCGGAGCTCCTAGCACATTGATTGGGCCCTTTGGGATTCTGCAGCCGAGTCCTCAGCACTCTGGGACGTTTCCGTGTCCCTCGGTTCGGAGGTTGAGCCACAAAAGTCAAAGAGAACCAATCGCTGACCACATCCTTAGACCTAGTTTCACGCAACGAAGCTCTTCCGCCCTGCGTGTGGATCATCGGTAGAGACACGCTCCCCGGACTTCCAGCTCGGGCTAGCATCGCATCCGGCAAGTCCGCTTCAGTCGGCCGTGAAAACGCCACATTTCCGTTTTGAGAAGCGTCACATATCAGCAACGTTCAGCTCTCGTACAGGCATTCCAACTCTACGGTGCTGAGTTTCAATAGTCACAACACCTGCAAGCCTCGTAGCTTTCTTTTCTGCCAATGGGTGCGATCTTCACGAGTTTGTGGAGATGATTCTAAACTTCGTCCGCTCGCGGGTTAGCTCTGCAAAGGTTACACATCTTTAGCAGCCGGAGGCACCGACGTCCCATCAGATAGAAGTGCCGGTTCGAACGGTCGCATCGCCAAACGTCGCTCACTTCTGTAAGCGGGGAATGCCATTTTGAGAACCCGTCATCGAGGCCAGCCAGCCACAAAGGTGATAACGTTTTCACAGCACAACTATTTTCACATTAACATGCATTTCTGAAGCTCCCGCTGCATACACCAACCATCTGTTCGGGAAGAGGGGTTGTCCGTTCATCGAGACATGATTCGGATTATCAAACATCTCATTCCCCCTCCTTCAGCGCAGACTTGACTGTCTTAGGACACATCTTTCTTGCGTAACATCCCATTGGCTCTAGGAACGAAGCTCAGTCGGCAGACCGAGGTGAACTTTACCATGCCCTTGGTGCCATTCTGCGATGCGAGCATCTTGAGGGAATTGCGTTAAATTTCTTGGGCCATTCATAGTCAACCTGGGGACGCCCGTGTCTCACACGAGCAATATGATCTTCAGCCCTTGTAAAAACTCAGGATACCCGTTGACCTCATCCATGCTGGTGTACGAGAAGAAGACGCTTTTCGGGATCCCTTGATACTAGTCGAGCTGCTTATAAGTTGAAGCAATATTCCCATAAACTTGGGAAAGCTTCACGACTACCCATCTGAGAATGCTTGGATTCCGCAGAAACCCATTGAGTGTGTTTACTTTCCCCTCGTTCCACTGCCAACATTACCCCATGAATAATCCCCGCTGAAGTGTACATCTTCAAACAGGTCGTAGGAAGCCCTCGAACTCCTCATCTATCTTGTCGGTCAGCTCAGACAGCCAGTCTATCGACGACGTACCAACAGTAGCAGACACAAAGATGTCCGTCTACGCAACTTCCAATCAGGGCTCTTTGGCCCGAAACGCCATCAAGCAGGAGTCCAGCGCCGTACACATTGACGAAGTTAACGTCAGCGACGCTTCAAGGTCGTCGTCTATCAGCTTGGACGCCTTGACCATGGTCGCCTCCAACGACGGCCACATGTCATACCGCGTCGTGCGTGTCATTGACACAGCCAGACGTATCCAGAAGAAGCTCGTCCGCGAGGTCGAGGAAGTCACCCACAATCACTTCCAGACCATCGATCTAGACGCTTACCTGGCATACATCTCCGATGAGCGTCTGACACACATGCCTCCCAAGGGCAGTCAGTGGGATCGCGTCCTGAAGTCGGCCGAGTTCTTCGGTCTTCAGCTGGACGAATACTCGCGCCATATCCAGTCCTTCATCGAGGGCTGCTCGCTTGTGCGCGACACAGCGTTGGCTACTTGCTACCTATTGCTTGAGGTAAATCAAACAGTCTTACAACTCCCCGGCTACGATGCCGACGCT